GGGCATGACGAAGGCCAGGATGGAGCAAGGCATGTGTGAGGGCACAGGGGCATGAGGGGACCAGGGGCATGAGGGTGGTGAGGGGGTGAGCATCAGGGAAAAAGAGAGCAAAGGAGGCAGGGGCAGTGAGGGAAGGGAGAGGCAACAGGAGGGTGCAGGAGTAAGAGAAGGTGCAAGTGCCAGGGGATTCTGGGGGTGAAGCAGAAGGGCAGACACCTGCAGGGGAGGGACCAGCACTAGAGGAGAGAAACAAGGCAGGTTTGTAGAGGGAGGTGTTAGGAGAGGGGATGAGGAGGGGTAGGTCACATGATCAGAGTGGGGCTACTGGAGGAGTGGGCACAGGAAGGAGAGAAGGGCTGGTGGACAGGTGCAAGTTGCAGGAGGGCTGAGGGCAGTGAGAAGGGCAGGAGTCAGGACTGGCAGTTTGTGCAAGAGTTCTTGTGCAAGAACACGTCCACACTGCCATGTGCGAGCTGTGCTTTTGCACAAGAGCATCTATGGCAGTGTGGACACTCTCTTGCCCAAGAAAGTGCCGATGGCCATTTTAGCCATAGAGCTTTCTTGCACAAGAAATTTATGTTGCCTGTCTACACTGGCCTCTTGCACAAGAACAGTTGCGCAAAAGGGCTTATTCCCAAGCGGGAGCATCATAGTTCTTGTGCAAGAAGCCCTGATTTCATACATGAGAATGTCGGTGTACTTGAGCAAGAACACATGGCCAGTGTAGACAGGAAGCAAGTTTTTGTATGAGAGCAGCCGCTTTGGTGCAAGATTGCGCCAGTGTAGACACAGGCAAGGGGAGGGAGGGAGAGGTGCAGGGAATCAGCTCTGGCTCAGCATGTCTGCATGGTTTGGGGGAAGGTGCAGGGAAATTGAGCTCAGCTGGGTTGCAGAGTGGGGAGGTCCGGGGAGCTGGGCTGGGCAGTGGGGTGGGGTGGGGTGTGTGTGTGGAGCTCAGAGCTCAGTTTGGCTGCAGGAGGAGGGAGGTGCCGGGAACCGGGGCTAGACTCAAGGGGAGGGAGAGACAGGGAATCGGCTCTTGGCTCAGCAGTTTTGTGGGGCTTGGAGGAGGTGCAGGGAAACGGGGATCAGC